AGAGAGAGAGAGAGAGAGAGAGAGAGAGAGAGAAAGGACCGGGCGGAAAGGATGGGGACGGGTGAGGAAGGCGAAGAACAGAACTCCATACAGCGTGAGTCATAGCTCTGTTGACCTTTTGCCTTTCGCTGCACAACAGAACACTGCTGTATGAATATTATGATTTAATGTCCAAGGGTACATGAATGCGAATTGTATTGCTAGGAGTGCGGGCGGGTATGCGAGCTCGTTTTCTGTTTTTGTGTAGTCGTCTGCACCGGACACGCTGTCATGATAGCCAAGACATGCTGCAGTGGTCAAGAAAAAAAGCCCAGCTCTATGAGACAGATAAATCAAAGCAGGACAATCGGAAAAATATTGTTTGGATCCGTGACTCAGCCAGCCGTTATTGTAAAGGAATTGTAACTGAGTTGTAGGGGACAGAAAAAATTCGACACGATATCGTAGCCTACGGTTTTCGCAAGTAACAGATAAGCAGAAAAATAGTGAGAGAAAAAACCCACAATTAGAGCGCCCATCATCAGCCACATACTTTAATTGGTTGAGAAAAAGGCCTAATTCCCCCCCCCCCCCTTACACACTCACAATTCTTTTCCCCTCGCTAATCAGATGGACGGTGGCCACAATAATTCTCAAGAAAATAGAATACATAGTTTCAGAGGATGTGTACGTAGATGTAACGATGGCTGTATGAAAGCATTGCGTTGTAGGAACCGAGAAGGATCGCAGAGATGTAAAAATGTGTTTGCGCCCACGACTTCGCTCAATGTACATTATGTAGAAGGAGGTTCTGAGAGTAGAAGGCTTATTTATAGAGACTAGGTGGCAGAAACGAGAACAGGCAAGATAGGTGGAGAGGACGAAAGGAAAGAGCCTGTTATGAGTTTATACAAATAATGTCTCATAGGAGACAGATCAAGACAGGCAGTCAAACAGAAAGACAGATAGATAGACAGACAGATAGATAGACAGACAGACAGACAGACAGACAGACAGACAGACAGACAGACAGAAAGAAAGATAGACAGACAAATGGAAAGACAGGGATGAGTGACGGTGACAGCGTCACATTCAAATTGCTGCTGGTACATGTAATAACATAAGAATAGGAGACGTTCTTGTGGCACCCAGAAAATGGCGCTACTGCGAATTACGTCTATTTTGTATGTAGGCTACTAGTCTGTTCGTGGCTGGAGAAATGTGCGTAGAAAAGTTATTAATGAAAGGAAGAAGAAGTCAGTATAGCACTGATCCTGATTTAAAGTACGTCTGTTGGGTTAGACTATCAGACTATAAACATTTATTTTTAACACTCAAAAAGGTATGCGTGTGCGTGTGTGACTGTTTAAGTGCGCGCGTGAGTGTGTGTGTGTTTGTGTGTGTGTGTGTGTGTGTGTGTGTGTGTGT